CAGCCCGAGGCCCCTCGGGAAAGCCCTGCCCCTCGTCTTCCTCGTTCTTCTTGGGGAGCCTTTGCAGCCCGGCACACACGGTTTGGAACTGGCCCGTCCGCACTACAAAGTTGTTAGAGCCGCCGCCGCCGGTCCCACCACCCGCGAACCCGCGAACCCGTCTCCACCTTCGGGACACAGGCGCTAGGTGTGTCTTTGCTCCATATAACCCGTCAGAGCAGATCCTGTGTGCTGACCTTGCTGGCCCCTCGCAGTGCGGTATTTATCACTGGACGTCGCTAAAGCCACGAAGAGGTGTCAAGAAAGCAGCAATTAACCCTGACAGAAACCTACACTTCTATCCTCTCTCCCCTTCCACACCGAGGGCCAGGTTTTCATCTCTGCAGAGTAACACTTACAAAATACATTGCGAATCCTTACGTTATAAAACTTGGCATCTTTATTGGGTTTTAAATTTCACAAAGTTTGTCATCATGACATTAATAAAGGCGGTTAACCACACGACAGTCTAAATGTCCTTAAACATTCTTTCCACTAGTGAAACAAATTCAACCACATAAGACTAAAGCCTTTTGTTGTTTTTCTCACTGTATGTGCACTGTTTTTAGTAGGCCAGATAGTATTTGGGAGGCTGAAAATATTCACCCACAATAAGAAATGCCTGCTGCTTATTATGTCTAGATGGGTCTGATAATACCATTAAAATTAAAACAAATTTTTATGTCATGACATGCGATCTTGCTCCCTCCTCCACAACAGTAAGATTGAAATAAATAGCCATGAAGCAATTTTAGAAACTTAGAAAGTCAATTGTTTCACTGCAAATGTTTCAGAATAAGATTGTTTATTTTTCAGTCTTGAGAATGCTGGAATGTTGATACTTGTTAGAAACGACCAGAGAGGTTTAATTATGAAATTGGGCAAGGTTCCTCTTTTACTATTAAAAATATAGTATTTGAAGGCTATTTGTTCTGGAAAATTGAACACAACGTAAAGCAGCCTCTGCGTGGCTGCTGGTTCTGGTAAGCCCTTCAGGAAACAGGGCCCTTATTTTATTTTCTGTGTGACTGTATTTTGGCATGCCCCCCTTGGAAACCCAGCGAACGGTGATCATCTCATTCATATCATGAGAAACGGGCTGGTTTGTCTGTGCAGAGAAGATTTTAAGAGCAAAATATTTAGTCTTCACGACTGTGTACAGAAGCATGAAATAGAATTTAGAAGCAGTGGTCTCCGAATTTCTCAGCCTCCAAATTTCCTGTCCTTTTTGCACACCTCACCAGCACAGGGTGCACTGAAGGCCATTGTGTGCCAAGCACTTGCCTAGCTCTCTCTCTCTCTTCTCTCTCTCTCTCTCTCTCTCTCTCTCCTTCCCTTCCTCCCCCCTCTCTCTCTTGGGTTGTGCTGACTCTGCTGAGTATTTAGCAAGGCTGTTGCCAATAACAGAAAGACTTGCACCCTTTTTAATTAAAAAATATTTTTTATTATCTTTAAGTAATTGCACAAAGGAGCTTCAATTCAATATGTCAGTTTACCAGCTCACTGCAGTCCTGATCACTGCAGTGTCCCCCTTATCATCCCACCCATCCCTTCATTTTTCCTAGTTCGGTTTTTAAATATATAAGGTGAATATTATGACTGCATCTGCCCACTCTTTTCAGCGCAAAAATGACTTTTCTAAATTGAAATGATGGTGTCTTCACTGTATTATTTCTTCCACTGATGTAAAAGGTTCCTGAGGAGTTTATTTTAAATTTGTTTGTAAGGAGTTTCCTCTCTCCGTTTGGATCCAGTACTAATCGGCTACCTTCTCTGTGGTTTTCCTACCAGGTAAAACGACCTACAAGAGTTTTTACGTTTACTGCAAAGACCCCTGTCGAAGAGTGCAGCCGGGAAAGCTGCGGGTGCGGTGCGGGGCCTGCAGACAGACCACGCTCACCTTGGCCCAGGTAAGAGCGCAGCACCGGCCTGCGGGCAAGCAGAGGGGTGCCCGGGAGCCGCCCTGCAGGACTGGAGCATCTCACCACTGCTGAGCAGAAGACACGCTCCCCCGCGGTCCTGACTCACTGTGCCTGGCTCTTTTTAATTAAGACTTGCTTTTGAGTTCTAGATCTTTCTCTATTCTGACAAAGCACGGTCTGCAGGAGCATTCCCCCTTGCTTTGATCTAGGCCTACTGGACGGAAGCAACAGGACTGCTTTCATAAGAAACCCAGGGTGGGGTGTGGTGAGGGTCTCCTGGGCGTGGCAGAGCGGGGCAGCTGCGTGCAGACCGGCTCTCAGGGCCCCGGCCTCTCCCTGGTGGATGGGTGTGCGGGAGGATGCCGGAAGTCCACTATCATTCCGTGAAAACGCGGTGCGTCCACAGGTGCGCGCCCAAAGCCACCCGCCCAGGGCTGTGCTTACAGTGTTAAGTGGTTGGGGAGAGTCAGAAGGTGAATCGAATCGTAGGATTCTGAGTTCCAGCACCCGCCCTCCGCTTTGGAAGCACCCGTTTCCTGGTACCTATTTTGTTAGGCTTTGACGTTGTTGTTGTTGTTTTTAAGAATTACACTATTTGTGCTCTCCATATGGTCTGTGCTACTTCAGTTCGTTCATTTGTAGCCACTCACTGATCAGCCAGTGTTTACTTGTAGACTGAAAACACATTGTAGCTACCACAACTGAGGCAAAGCATGCAACCTGTGTTTCCTCTGGGTCTGGCCTGTTTTACTGAATGTACCTTTTTAATCAAGAGAAATCCTAAATCTGGAATTTTATGTGAAATTTAGTAATGAAAAACAGAAAAATGAAAAAGCAGAAAAACTTGCAGCATCCATCTAAGCATAGGCAAGGTAAATAGTAAATAATGAGCAGATATTGTAGGTATTAAATGGTACTAGGAGTTAGGTATGCAGCAGCAAGAGTGTACGTTGGAGAGGCAGCATCATAGGAGACTGCACACATGCCTCACTTTCTCACCCCCAAAAGGGGAAACAAGAGGCACACAAGCTTGAAAGCTATGAGAACCTTCAAAGAGGCTAGATTCACTAACTATAAGAGGAAAAGAGAACAACTCACCGATCTTTATGTTGTGATGTGGGTGCTTTTCAATGAGTTGGATGATCTGGCACATAGTTTGTCAGGAAGGAAGAATCAGGGCTGGGTTGCAGTAGGTGTTGTCCAGGTATAGGATATGGATCTGCTTCCCTGAAGCCAGGGCTGGCTCCTTCAACATGGATGGTGTATACCGAAAATCACCTGGGTGAGGGGTAGAAGGTAAAGACAAAAGGAAAACATCTATCAACATGTACCGACAGCTGGGCGTCTGCTTAGAGGGTCTCTGGGAAAACATGGGGCAGCACAGCTTCTCTGTGGGAGGAAGAGTTTCCATCCTCACATTCCCCGCCAGGTCTTGACGGTCAATGTACTTATATAGGATCATAGAATATACTTAGATTAGCTCAGACAAGGGTTTTGGAATGTTAGCCACATCGTAGCTAGTGGAGTTAGACTCTTTATTACCATGTGTATGTGCTTCTGTACGTGAGTACAGAAAGAGAAGTTGAAGCATGTCTGTCTCTAGCCCATTCACCCCGGGGCTGCCGCTGTTACCACGCAGAACATTGCTCTGAGCCAAAGCCCTGGCTCTGTGCTCCGCTGGGCCAGCATTGCTGCAGACACTGATCCATCCATCCATCCAGGCTCTGGGTACCGCTCCATCTCCAGTGGCCTCCCCCATGAGCACCTACGGACTTGTCACCCCCCCCCAGAACTGGGAACCTTCGCTTTTTGAGTCGAGGCTTCTGTTGCCCTTAGACGATTTACTGCTCTACATATCATGATCCCTTTCTTACCTCCTTTCTTCTAGAGCTGTGTGGGCTCTCCTTAGACTCTCTGCAAAATGCCATCTACATTGGTGTTCATGCCTTCATTTGCTTTCCCACACTGGGCGCCATCTATGCCCGACACCCTTTCCCATTTATATTTCAGGAATTTGAAAGCCTTATGTGGTCAGATAGCTTGTTGTTTGGGGTCATTTTTTCTTCAATACGTCACAGTGTCTTCTCCACCAGCAAATTATGGTGAATGAACTGCATCTGTTTTTGAACTTCTATACATTGGTTCACTAAATTCATACCATTTAGAAATTCTATCTGGCATTTTATAAGCATATTAATTATAGCAGTTATGGTGTATATGCTCCAATTTATTGATTTTTCTTATACTTATATTCTTGTATTTGTGTATATGTCTAATTTTTGTAAGAGACATACAGAGTAGATAGTGTTCTCCAATATTTTAAGCACAAAACTCCAGTGAGATTCAATAAGGTGCTCAAAGCTATACAGTTAACAAACATTGGAGCCTGGAGTGAAAAAAAATTTCTCTACAGTTTTTCCAAAGCCATAGCATTTTCTAGAATATATTGCTCACTATAAAACCTAGGTAATGAATGTCCTACTATCCAACCATTTCCTCATGCTCAAAATACCTCTGAGAAAGCCAGGTGCTGGTGGCTCATGCCTATAATCCTTGCTACTCAGGAGGCTGAGATCTGAGGATGATGGTTTGAAGCCATCAGACCCTTATCTCCAACAATCTATTCAGCAAAAGCCAGAAGTGTCCTAATGGTTCAACTGGTAGATCCATAGCCTTGAGCACAAAGAGGCTTAGGGATGCACCCAGTCCCTGAGTTCAAGCCTCAGAAATGGCAAAAACCAAACAAAAAAAAAACTGAAGTTACTAGTAGAAAGGAAAATGGAATGGAATAAAGAGGATTTTAAGATAATTTTCTGAATCTGTATTTTAGTATAATTACTAGATACAGCATAACTAGCACATGCCAGAAGAGATCAGACATTTCTATTTGCTCATGCAATGCCTGTTCAAAGATCAAAAGCTATATGCAGAGAGTACCCCTGCAGAACAGCTGGCCGGCCCCACTGCTGCACAGCTGCAAGTCTAGGTTTGGCAATGATGGAAGAAGTTTCAATCTCCAGTTCTTTATAAAGATTGATAACTTACATAATTTTCTCTGATAATGAATGATAAGAGAACATTGGATCTCGTGTGGGTGCATAGTTACAGTGGAGAGCTCTGTGGTTTATTCGAATAGCCAACAGAGATTTTTATACAGAAAAGAAAAGTTGGAAACTACCTAGCAAGCTGAATAATTTTTTAATGCAATATTGTTTTTCTACTACCTGGAGAATTGTCGTGAAGAAGTTCTGCGTCTCATGAGTCTTTATAGTCATTTCCTATATGTTATATTGTTGGGAGTTTTTCATAATGCAGCAATTCTCCAAATCTACTTAAATTTTATACTTAACAATAAGGAGCTGTTTCTCACATATAATACTCTAGTTTACATCACATTGCCTGTGATACTTGAACTAAATTGACAAGGAAGGTAGACATATGCAGCTTCTGTTCTTGTGGTGTAGGTTTCCAAATCTGGGAGCGTAAGGGGTTACCTGACTTTGAGGGTGAGTTGAAGATTAACATGTACCAGAGAAGTGTTCTGACTAGCCCAAGTCTTGAGAAATTTGAGTGCTCACTGGAAAATAGCTCACGTTGCTTATTGTAGGAAACAAAAGGATGGGCATTCAAGTTTCAGCCACCTGTTGAAAGGTGGCGACACTGAGACCCTTATGGACACTAGTCCAGGTGAGCAAGAGGACAGCTGCTCTCTTCATGGCCCCATGCTTCTGAGGGAGCTGTTTGTTTGTTGACAGAGTCTCACTCGGAAATGGATAATTTAAAATAAATGGTGTCACTGTTTCAAAGATTTTCCTATCACGTACTCATTAAAAATAAAGCAAGCTCTCTAGAGACTCATGATGTTATTTTCCTTCTCTGTGCCCGTCCTGTAGCTAGAACACAGAGCTTGGTGGCTGACGCTGAGCTTTTCATGCATGGCTAGCACCCTACCACTTGAGTCACACCTGCACTTCTGGCTTTCTGGTTGTTAATTGGAGTTATTGACTTTCCTTTCCCACAATTGTGGCTTTGAACCACAATCCTCATATCTCAGCTTCCCGAGTAGCTAGTAGACGTGAGCCACTAATATCCAGCATTATGGCTCTTTTAAATATTGTTTAATAAGTAGTTATACAAAGGGTTTACAGAAAGGCGTTTTGATTCCTGAAGTCAGGTTATGAGTATAATGCACACTCCTTCCATTGTTCTCCTCATCGTTCCCCATCCCATCCCTACCCTCAAGTTACATAGTTCAAAATCTACAGAATGTACATTGGATATAATGACTTTGTGACTCTTGGCGTGTAATACCTTCCTGACTAGCTGCACTGAGGCATCTGCCCCTGGGAATAGTTCTGCACCCCCATCCTCACCCTACCTCATCCCTACAGGCACTAACTAACTCATTATGTCCCTCAGGCACTCTTGCCACCCTGGATGCCTGTCCTGTCCCTTCCCACGGCCTCTCTCAGGCTCCTGCCTACATTCTCTGTGACTCAGGCTTCCTCCAGAAGACAAACCCAAAAACATCCTGGAATAGGAAGAAACTGATTCTTCTAACTCGAAGTCAGCTTGAAATATAATAAGGATATTTATAGAGCACAAAAAGCCCTTGATTTAGTAATATTTAGATGATAGAATGGATGCAGAGTTAGCTGAAAAAGGATGCAGCGTCTTGTCTCAGAGGGCTTTCCTGGAGGACCCTAGTGCTGGCACAGATGACGCACTGTTCACCTCTGTGGTACCAGCGCTATGTTGCTCAGGTTATCTACCACCAGCATCTTTTTGTTTGCACACAGTTTCTTAGTCTGAAAATTAATCAGAAGTCAGGAGATTACTGCAGCCAAGAAGTTTGGATGATTTTTTCCCCCCACAATCACTATAATTACTTTATCTCAAAAAGAACTTTATCTTTGCCACTCTAATGAGATCCTCTGCCTTGGAATAGCATTAAAGCTAAAAGGTTTCTGATGAGAAATGGTTCAATA